CCTCCTCCCGGTGGGACATGCCCAGAACACCTCCCTAGGAAGGCGCCCAGGAGGCATCCGAAACAGATGCCCGAGCCACCTCAGCTGGCTCCTCTCAATGTGGAGGAGCAGCGGTTCTACTCTGAGCTCCCAGGTGACCGAGCTCCTCACCCGAACCTCTAAGGGTGCGCCCGGCCACCCTACGGAGAGAAAGCTCATTTTGGCTGCCTGTATCCGGGATCTTGCCTTTTTGGTCATGACCCAAAGCTCATGACCATAGGTGAGAGTCGGAACGTAGATTGACCAGTAAATCGAGAGCTTTGCCTTACAGCTCAGCTCCTTCTTCGCCACAAAGGACCGGTACATCGAATGCATTACTGCAGAAGCTGCACCGACTCTACACAGTAGTTTATTAGTAAATCTGATGCACTACCAAAATCACTGAGCCAGCAAAGATTTCATATTTATCATGTATTGTAGGTCATCTACTGGCATTCACTTTGTTAGAAACATTTACTATGTGTTTATTGTGTGTTTACTATGTTCCAGGTGGATAGCAACACCACTTGCAGTTTCTGTTGGGATCAGACAGATAGTCCATCTGAAAGCAGAAGACAACCCCATCCTGGAACTCTACTACACTACTCAGTGTAGAAATCCTACTCAGGTACGCAGTCTCACTCAGTCCGGTGACTAATGTGTCCATTTAAATATGAAAGACAGTTCTCAGTTTTGGATATGGACAGGCAGAATCACCACCTTATCATGGTGGAGGGGCTTGTATGCCACTGTGATCCTGGAAGCTGTATTGTCAGGGACAGGCTTTGCTTAGGACCCTCTCCTGGAGCCAAGCCTGAAAGGGGAGCTTACTGGCAAGTGTCTAGTGGCTGGACTGAGTGAGGCAAAGCACAAATAAATTATGTGGAGTTGTCACCCTGTGGGTCCACTACCAGCAGGGATAGGAATGGGGGTCAGGTGCAATGTAAGCAGGGCATCAGGGAAGGTTAGGGATCTGGGCTTGCCGATCCCTGGTGTCGAAGACTGGCTTTAGGGGTGCAGAACTTTAGGGGTAGAGAATGATCCAGAGATGGTGCAGGAGGTGGAGAGGAGAGGTATTAGCTAGATATAGTTAGGCTCACCTCCATGCACAACACTCATGGAGAGGGGCTGAACTCTATGTTACGGTGAGCTGTATATTAGAGCTGGTTTGGACTCAGAGAAAATCCAGAACTCAGACTCAGGCTTTGACAAGGTAAATGTATTTTAATGAGTGTGACAAATGAGAAGTCGACAGAGCCGGTCTCTTCAACAGATCTCAGGACAGCTGGGCAAACTGGGTTGGCTGGACCGCTAGAGATGTAACCCGGGGCTGAAGGGGAGGCGCAGCTCGCTGAATAAGAGCAGAGAGTGAGAGAATGAGAGAAAGCAACAGGTATGCTATGGTAAGAGCTAATTTTAGTAGTCACACTGGGGACCTGAATAGCTGAGTGCACCGCAGGCATAGGGAATAGTCCAGGGAGGTGGGAGCTGGTGCAGGAGATCACTGGTCCAGTGTGCAGGCTCCCCATTGACGCAGAGCTGGTAGCGGGGCGGTGTGATGAAGGCAAACAGTAGGGTTCCAGGGCCAGAGAGGAAGTCACAGTAAGAGCAGGTCTCCTAGCGCTGGGGAGCTCTGCTGGAGGAAACAGTTAACAATTCCCGACAACAAATGGTGCTGAGAAAAACAAAAACAGCCGAAGCTGACCCAGTAAGGGAAAACACAGTTCAAAAAACATAAAGCCAACAGCAAAACATTTTGAACATAAAGTTACCCTTCAAAACATAATGGTAAAAAAGCGGGTGCAAAAAATACTCATAAGCAAAGAGCCTATAATTCAAAGCATAAAGCCAGGCTCAACAACAGGGAAGTAGTCCATAAAACAGATTTTTGACATGGGTACAAGGTAACGTTACCAGCAAGATAACAGCTGATAATCTGGCGATGAGGGCACACCAACGCTCTCCTTAAATACTACTCCGATATTTGAGAGCAGGTGTGTTTCGCCACCTGGAATGCACTCCCGCCTGTGTGGGGGTGTAGCTGCTGTGACTACCTGTGCCAGCTACCAAGGAGCAGGCGGTGGCCTGGGCCACGGACGTAACACTCTTCTTTTCTGGACTTGCCCAGGGTGCTGGGAAAGTGAGGATATTAAAAAAACTGAACACTGTGTTAGAGTTCACCCTGAGAGGGTTGCATCCATGCTACTGCAAGTCACTCCAAGCAAGGCTCTGACTGTTGTCGTTGAAAGGGGTGTGTTAAAAAAATAGCAGTGTGGCATTCAATCAGTGAGGTCATCAATTTTGTGAAATAACAGGTGTGAATCAGGTGGCCCCTATTTAAGGATGAAGCCAGCACTTGTTGAACATGCATTTGAAAGCCTGAGGAAAATGGGTCGTTCAAGACATTGTTCAGAAGAACAGCGTACTTTGATTAAAAAGTTGATTGGAGAGGGGAAAACCTATAAAGAGGTGCAAAAAATTATAGGCTGTTCAGCTAAAATGATCTCCAATGCCTTAAAATGGAGAGCAAAACCAGAGAGACGTGGAAGAAAACGGAAGACAACCATCAAAATGGATCGAAGAATAACCAGAATGGCAAAGGCCCAGCCAATGATCAGCTCCAGGATGATCAAAGACAGTCTGGAGTTACCTGTAAGTACTGTGACAGTTAGAAGACGTCTGTGTGAAGCTAATCTATTTTCAAGAATCCCCCGCAAAGTCCCTCTGTTAAAAAAAAGGCACGTGCAGAAGAGGTTACAATTTGCCAAAGAACACATCAACTGGCCTAAAGAGAAATGGAGGAACATTTTGTGGACTGATGAGAGTAAAATTGTTCTTTTTGGGTCCAAGGGCCACAGACAGTTTGTGAGACGACCCCCAAACTCTGAATTCAAGCCACAGTACACAGTGAAGACAGTGAAGCATGGTGGTGCAAGCATCATGATATGGGCATGTTTCTCCTACTATGGTGTTGGGCCTATTTATCGCATACCAGGGATCATGGATCAGTTTGCATATGTCAAAATACTTGAAGAGGTCATGTTGCCTTATGCTGAAGAGGACATGCCCTTGAAATGGTTGTTTCAACAAGACAATGACCCCAAACACACTAGTAAACGAGCAAAGTCTTGGTTCCAAACCAACAAAATTAATGTTATGGAGTGGCCAGCCCAATCCCCGGACCTTAATCCAATCGAGAACTTGTGGGGTGATATCAAAAATGCTGTTTCTGAAGCAAAACCAAGAAATGTAAATGAATTGTGGAATGTTGTTAAAGAATCATGGAGTGGAATAACAGCTGAAAGGTGCCACAAGTTGGTTGACTCCATGCCACACAGATGTGAAGCAGTTATAACAAACTGTGGTCATACAACTAAATATTAGTTTAGTGATTCACAGGATTGCTAAATCCTAGAAACAAAAACGTTTGTACAACATAGTTTTGTGTTTGTACAGTCAACGGCAGACACTGCTATTTTTTTGAACACACCCCTTTCAACTAATTGCCCAATTTCACAGCCTTAAGAGCGTGCATATCATGAATGCTGGGTCTTGTTTGCTTTCTGAGAATCTACTGCACCTACTGGTAACTTGTTTGCCATGTAGCAATAAAAAATATACTAAAAACCTGGATTATTCTGGTTAGTCACATTGTACTGCTATTATTTTGAACAATACTGTAAGTGCAAACAGCAGTTTAGAGTATCTAGGCTTCTTGGAGACCCTGGGTGGGTTCTGGAAGGGGCACCACCTGGGGACTACATAGTTCTTTTGCGGGACTTGACCACTCATGTTAGCAATGATGAAGAAACCTGGATGGGAGTGACTTGGAGGAATGGCCTGCCTGATCTGGACCCGAGTGGTGTTTTGTTATTGGACATCTGTGCTAGTCATAGATTGACCATAAACAACACCATGTACAAACCAAGGTTTGCCGGTCAGGTTTCCGGAAAGAATGAATTTTACTGGACAAATTTCAAATTTACCAGTAAAGCTTCAGCAATACTTGCATACAGAAATATCTGGTTATATAACACCAATATTGTACAGCTTATATTTGAACTTTTTTGCTGTTTTTAGTTTGCAGGAAACACATGAAATTGCTGTTTGAGGAGAATTTGTAGCACTGTATCTTAACATGCCTTTGTAATGTTATAGCATTAGCCAACATACATCACCTTTGATATACTAGCAGCAGTGATGTTTATTATAAATGAGCTTCTTCAAAATGTTAGCTTCGCAGGTAGAGAAATGAGCTGTTAATTGTCCAAATATATCAACTGACAGCACAGGTTCAACTTAAAAGCACAAAAGCATCCAGTTAACCTTAACATAAAAATATCTATCATCATGTTGTTTGCAGATGTGCCATATTAATGCAAAAACTCAGACAACTACAGTATAAACAGTCAGCTTCACTCCTGATAAACTCGATGGGTATTATTGACAGACTCATGAAAAGCCATTCTATATGCCAATTGTTTCTGTGGAGTATTACAAACATCACAAAAATAGCTATAGATTTTATAGAGTAAAATCTGATGGCTTGTCTCAGCTGTCACCTCGTATGCTCCAGTTACTGAGGTATCAGATTACTCAGCCTTCCTGGGAAAGCCTATGCCAGGCTGCTGGAAAAAGGCTCAGATCAATTATCAAACCTCAAATTCAGGAGGGTGGCTGTGGCTTAGGAGGTAGAGTGGGTTGTGTCCTAACTGGAAGATTAGTGGTTCGATTACCAGCTTGTCCAGTCCACATGTTGAAGTGTCCTTGAGCAAGACATTGAATCCCCAGTTGCTCCCAGTGATGACACCAGTGTGTGAATGTGTGAGTGTTTGGGAGTGCAAATGGGTGAATGGCCAAAATAGTGTGAAAGTGCATTGAGTGTGCTGTAAAACATAAAAAGGCGCTATACAAATATAAGACTATTAAGACCATTTTAGCACATCCATAAATCTCCTCTTTGGCCTTCCTCTTGACCTCTTGCCTGGCAGCTCCTTCTACCAATATAACCACTATCTCTCCTCTGCACATGTCCAAACCATCTCAGTCTGGCCTCTCTGACCTTGTCCGCAAACCAGCCGACCTGAGCTGTCCCTCTAATGTGCTCATTCCTAATCCTGTCCATCCTGGTCACTCCTAAAGAGAACCTCAACATCCTCATCTCTGCTACCTCCATCTCTGCCTCTTGTCTTTTCCTCACTGCTACAGTCTCTAACCCATACATCATAGCTGGTCTCACTACTGTCTTGTACACCTTTCCTTTGATTCTTGCTGACACTCTTCTGTCACACAACACTCCTGACACCTTTCTCCACCCACTCCAACCCGCCTGCACTCGCCTCTTCCCCTCTTTCCTACACTCCCCATCACACTGGACTGTTGACCCCAAATACTTAAACTCCTGCACCTTCTTGACCTCAGCCCCCTGTAACCTCACTGTTCCACTTCCCTCCCTCTCGTTCATACACATATATTCCGTCTTACCACGACTGACTTTCATTCCTCTTCTTCCCAGAGCAGACCTCCACCTTTCCAGGTGTTCCTCCACCTGCTCTCTGCTCTCACTACAGATCACAATGTCATCCGCAAACATCATTGTTCACGGAGATTCCTGTCTGACCTCATCTG